CAGGAATGAGTCTGAGATCAGAAAACTGACTTTACAGTGAAGCTGAAATGAACAGCAGATTGCCATGGAACATTAGTCAGAGTGGATCCTTTAACCTCATTTTATATACTTCAGTCCCAGTATGTTGAATAAGGAAACTGTTACTGTAGTTGAACAGTAACTAACTGTTCCTTAAAAATCCTCTAGAGATGATAACATTTAAAGTTTTGGGGGTGATTATGCCATATAGTTGAAGCATGTCAACTTTGTTTAAATACTGATAAAAACAGTGTTAATTTGTAACAGTGGCAACTGAGAAATGAACAGCTTTTACCATAATGTGTATAGTTATTTCATATTTAATATATTTCATAGTTATTACATCATCAGCATCTGCAGTATGTTCCCATGATAGAGTGGGACACGTTTCGCTGTTTAGTTTCGCTAACTTTTTTTGCTGTTTAGATCAGCTAACTTTTATGCTAAAAAATAAGTGATGTTTACCTTGATGTGCCTCAGGGGCAGATGGGAGATAGATAGTCTGGAAAAAAATGTTCAGAAAACCAGGAAGTCCTTTAACTGTTTTTGAGAAATAAACTTGTGCAACTGTCTTGTGGAACTTCAGAATTATTTGATTAAGTACAAGATCTATTTCAAGGAAGCGTGGTGAGCTGGCAATCAGGAGCAGCAGTGGGAAAATACAGTAGAATGTATCTTGTGTCTTGCATCTTTCTATCTTTATAGCTGCTTAGTGGTTGCTTTTGCTTTGACAGGTTGTATTTCTGTCGGTATTTCGCCAATGTGTGTGTGTTTGCATATACACTGAATACCAATTTGTGCTCCTTTGACACTTGCTCTGATTTTTCTAGCTATTTGACGTAAATACTTTCACCATTTTATTACTCATTTTGATTCTGTAGTATCCTTTGAATCAGCACACTGTCACTGTGAATTTAAGAACAGAGGCAAAGAGCTGTCAGTATTTATAGTTGTTGCTTTGTCTTTCTGTTTGTTTCTTAGGTTGGAAGTTCTACAAACACACTCAAAGCTCTTCAGATTGCTCTTGCTGATACTGACACTCAGGCTATTTATCTCTTGACTGATGGGAGACCTGACCAGGTATTTCAGGAATGAGAAGACAGAAAATGCAGTAGTGTGGTGTCAGAAGGCTGAAGTGTAAGAAGAATACCATGCCTGCAGAGCTGAGTCTCCTGGAGGCTCTTGGATGTTGTCATAGCATTGAAAAATTGTATCTAAGAAATGTGCTGTTTGTGAAAGGGTTTTGATTAGAACTCTCCACCACAGTCCAGTCCTTGGTGCATGATAGCTCATTTCTCATGAGCTGCTTTAAGGATCTGGTAATGGATTAAATATTAAAACTGTACATTAGTATCAAGGCTAGGATTTATGTTAAATAAAAGGTCTTCCTAACTTAGTACAAATATCTCATGAATTAAAAAAAAAAATAAATACTGGTAGTCCCGTGATATGTTTGGATTTAAATACTAAACCCCTGCAATCTGGCATGGCTTGAAAACCTAAAAAGAAAGTGGTTGATAGCAAAATTTAAAAAACCTAAGTTTGTTTTCAACATTTTTCCACAAAGAACACATCTTACATTCTGTTGCAGAACATACATAAAGGCTATGCCTGGAGAGCAAAGGCCTAATTATTAATTTACATTATTCTCATATAAAGATGTTACCATTAATATTGTCCCATTAGGTCTCTGCATGGTTCCATTTTTATCCTGCTGAGTCATATTTGATCTCATGTAGGTGCAGTTCTGGAGCAGCAGCAGTCTGGAGTTGGTTTAAGTCTAGTTTTAAGTGAATAATGAAATCAAATTTTTGAATGTGTTGTTACTGTGACTTAATGCTATTTTATGTTATATCACATTATATAACACCAAATAAAAACTGGAGCAAAAACCACTTTCAAGCTGTAATACATGGTGAAAACCAGCCTGTATGCTGAGCATAGCATCTAACAAATATTTTATTTGTCCTTGAAAATTTAGCTTGGTTGTAATGGCAGCTATGCAGCAAAGGCCTGACTTGACTTAGGTGAACGGCTGGGCTGAAGGCCCCACGACATTAATTAGTGAAGCACATTCAGTGAATCGAGCATTCAGAAAGCATCACAGACTTGCAGAAATAATTTCTTCATACTTTGATAACAAAGAGAAATGCTAAAGGCCCACTTTGTTCTCTTTTTCTTCATAAGGGAAAAGCAGCCCATATTTGCATTGTTTCACTCTTTTGCTAGCTAGAGGCATATATTAATATTTTATTAAAGAATGATTTGGCTTAATGTACACTTATTCAGATTCTTCATTTTAATATTTGTATTAAGTGAGAAATTAATGAATACTTAATTTCTTTTTACCTACTTAATAATGGCATTTGTGATTTATAGGTGAATTTTATAGATTCACATTTTTAGATTAAAAAGGGAAAATTACCAACATTGCTTTTGAATATTAAAGTGCAAGAAACAATTATATTGCAAATATTACTAAATTTATCAAGATTTATGACAGTATTCTGAATAACCAAAGTGTTATCAGAGTTAGGGAAATGAGTAAATAATTTCTTTCAATATTTTTAGACATGTTAGATCTTTACTTTCTCACCTTATTTTTATTCCCATATTGGAGGAGGAACACTAGCTTTTCTGTTTTCTCAACCTCTGTTTTGTTTCCTGGTACTGAATCAACTTTTCATTGAACTAATTTAGCTAAATAAAAATATCAATAGTTGTATACATCCGAAAATATTGTTAGATACATTCAGTGATAGCAAACACCAATGCAGTAGTTTAATTTCCTATACTTCAGTAATTTCCTTTCAAATTTCAGAAACAAAGGGTAGGGGTTATATTATAACTTACTTTTTTTTTTTATCCTGTGCCTTACTACATTATCAATGTTTCAAATGCGGTTTTAAATTAGCTAATTTTATATAATTATGAAATAGCCATCCATATTAAGTGTAGGCTTTTATCTGATCTATATCTAGCTTTAAGAAACAGTATGACTGATTAAATTCTTACAAATTCTCCATGTTTTGACATGATATGCTTTTGATGTGTTTCTAGATGCCACACTTAATATATATTTCTCAATTTTCAGCCTCCCCCGGTAATTTTGGCTCAAATCCAGCTGCATTGTAAAATTCCCATCCATACTGTATCCTTCAACTGTGATGATATAGAAGCTAATAAATTTCTATATGAACTATCTACTGAAACAGGTGGCCGGTTTCATTATTACAACATTTATTTGGCTGATCCTGATGCTGCAGATTTTATTGGTGTGAGTATCTGAAAATAACTGTTCGTTTCTTTATGCTACTGAAGGAAGCACAACTCAGTATTCTGACTATGTATTACAATATATTATTAAAAAAAAAGGGTTAATCCTAGACAGATTGAAAATGTTGTGAAAGCAGTAAATGTGGCATGTTTTGTTCATGACATTTTATTAGACCACAACAACAAAGCTCAAGTATCATGCAACATACATTTATAACACTACGCTGGTAAAAAAAACCTCTGAAAACCAAAACTCAGAAAACATATAGGCTAAATTCAGCTCTGGAAGAAGTACACGTGATCTCTGCTGTCTCAGAGATAAGTTACTGTTTAAAATTAAACTCTGGTTTGTGTTCTGTTAATAAATGCGAGAACACAGACCAGAATTTGAATGATAATGAATGAATGATTCTATGAATTTTGCTAAAAGTTATCC